AAAATTCAAACAGCCACTAAAGCTACTTGGTACCACACACCTACTTTCTCTTCCTGGACCAATCTTAAAACTTCTGAAGGATGCTTTTCCCACCTGAAGCTCCTCTTCTTTATCTAATAAAGAAGACTAATGTAAGCCGGGTGGTGGTAGTGCACACCTTTAATCCCAGCACTCGGACCTCTGTGAATTCAAGGCCAGTCTGGACTACAAGAGCTAGTTCTAGGACAGGCTCCAAAGGTACAGAGAAACCCTGTCTCAAAAACAACAACAATAACAACAAAAACTAATGTAACCACTAAGATCAAATACTTTTTTTCAATCTAGAATCTTCTTGTTGGAATCTGCTCTTTAGTCATGTTCCGTAAACTTTACAATTCTTGCCTCTTTAGGCCCCCACTAAATACTTTGACTATTACTCCAAAAATAATGAGAGAATACTTCAAGCCTTAAAAATCCCCCAAGGCATTGAAGTTACAGCAAGAGCCTCTGCTCCCGGCCAGCACTCCCTGTCCATCCCCTCTGAGGTTGAAGCACATGCAGTTGACAGATCCTGTCTCCATACACCCACTCCACAGGTGTCAGCCCAACCTGCCACCAATCTGAGTCTCCTACTTTCTCACGAGCCTATGCTTGACCCTCAAGGACTAACGCCCCAGAACTTGGATTCAATGTTGTTACTTCTCCTTTTAGGTCAATGTCTACAGAAAGCAAAAAGGCAAAGGGGCTTTGCCTACCCAGACTGTCAGAAAGGTTAAGACGACCAAGTTATTCACCCTAACAACTACAAAAAATCCACAGCTGAGTCCAGAGAAATCCCGAAGCAGCACAGGCATAGAGTAACAGATGTCACCCCGTGCGAAGGGGGTTAATGCTTGAAGCAGAAGAAAATACAAGGAGGTGGGACACTGGTATCTAGGGGGAAAAACTCAGAGAACTAAGATGAAAACTAAGAATCACTGTATATTTTAGAACAGGAAAGATAGGAGCTGAAAACAACTAAGAATTTATAAACCATTTAACACTTTATCTACACTTCTGGTTGATACAAATGAAAACTCAAGACAATACACATATTACTAAGCAATACATGAGGCTAAGGAAATCTGGTGTAAGACGCAAGTGACATGAAATGAGATAGTCAGTGGTATTTAACTTAGTCTTCAGTTATAACTAATAAATCTGCTAGAGAAGTGAGGGCTTTTGGAGAAACTGGATAAAGGCTGGGTGAGAACAGGGCCCACTGGCTGCCAATGCCTACCAGGTCTGTTCTTCTGAAGGCAGTGTCTACCCAGCCAAGAGACAAAACCTACACCAGACAGCTCACAAAGTGTGTGTCACGAGAGATAAGTACCAAACTACACAATTCTAAGCTCCAGAGTAAGAAAAAGTGCCACCCTGCAAACAATTTTTAAAAGCTCATGTTCTCAGAGCTGTTATCCGCCACCACACCACCTTTCTCAGCGGTGACCCAAATTCAAAAGGAACTAGCAATCAAATACTACCTTGGCTTTGTGCAGAGGTAAAATGGAGGTTGGAGGAGCTGACAACAGAACTGTGTTGATAGGCTATACAAGCTAGAATTCTTTCTCTCCTCATTTCTTAGTGACATCATTAACATCTAAGTCCACATGTTTAAAAAAATCGCTGAAAGTTAATATCCAAAGGCTTTCAAGGCAAAGGTCTCTAGGCCTGGGAGATGGCTCAGCAAGGCACTTGCTAGCAAGGTCCATAGCCTGAGTTTGGTCCCTAGGAGCCCACACGGTGGATTAACACTGGCTCCAGAATACAGGCACACAAATAAGCCAATGTAAATGGTTGTTTAAAACAAGACTCAGCTGTAATCAGTGATCAAATTAAAACTTGTTCATGTTGCCCTGAGTCACATCACAAGGTTACAGGATAATACAGTTCATCGCCTAACACATTCTTCGTTGGTTTGTTTTGACATAAGGTCTCACTGTGTATCCCAGGCTACCTGAGCCTGGAACTGGTGCTCCTTCTGCCTCAGGATCACAGAGTGCGGGGATTACAGCTGTGGCAATCTCCACAGGCTTTCTTCTTTTCTTTCTCCCGTCCTCTATCTCCTTCCAGACTGTGAGGAGAGCATCAACTCAAGCTTCCAGCCATAAATGAACAACAGGGGCGAGGAGGGGGTAACAGACGAGAACGGCAGGGCAGTATTCTGGCCAGCTCACCACTGTATCCAGGTTGTTACCAGCACTTGGGAGATCCCTACTGATTTCCTGTGCTCCCCAAGAGTGAGCGATTTTCCCTCATATGTTCATCTTGAAAAATATAGAACCTAAATGTGGAAAGTGCTTAGTTATTAAAGTATACTGCTGGGGCTGGAGATGGCTCAGTAGCTAAAAAAGCTTGCTGTACAACCATGAAGATCAGGGTTCAGAGCCCAGCACCACTGATCTCTCACACACCTACTAGCCTAGCACGGGGGGCGGAAGGGAGGGACAGGCAGGGGAGTGGAGACAGACTTGGGGCTTACCAGTATAACTGAAAACATGACCTCCAGGAGAAACCCTGTCCCCAAAGAATATGACATAAGGTAACACTTGACTCCTTTCTCTGTTTACACGCACACAAGTGCACACATTCACCTATGGCAATGACAGGGGAGGTAGATGCCATCAACTGTCAGCAAGGCGGATAAGAAAATTTACTCAAATACTTTATTACAAGAGACTTGTGATATAGCTCAGTTGGTAGAGAACTTGCCTTGTATGCATAAAGCCCTGGGTTCAAGTCCCAAAACCTCCTAAATTAACCATGGTACCTTATAATGCAAAGTTCAAGGCCTGAGCTACCTGTATAAGACTGTCCCCCAAAACTATTATCCTCAAGGTACCACCAGAGAGCAGTCACTCCACACGGTATCTTCAAGCTCTTCCAATGTTTACTGAGACATAATTTTTATAGAATTCAGGTAACCGCAGGCCCAACTACAAAACTATTTCACCATGAAGGCAAGCCATAGGTCCAGAGATCCTGCATCTAAGTCAAAAGTATTAATTTAGCAAGGAAGGGAAGCAGAGACAGCTAAAGCAAAGTTCCAAATAAACTCCTACAGCATTGCCTACCAACTGAAAAGAGCAGGTACAGGTCCTACAGCCCCTACGCTCAAAGACACAAAAAGTGACAGTCCCTAGGGGTAAGTACAAAGGATTTAAATTAAAAGACACAAAGACTTAAGATTTAAAAACTTGTCGACATACTGCTAGGCAGCCCAGTCTACCTCCTGGCAGGAATGATTCCAGTTCAATGTTCCAGATCTGATGTATATTATGCATTCAACGCTGAAGAGAAGAGCTGTTCACACAGTAACCTGTGCTATATTTAAGTTGAATATTAATATTTAAACACTACAAAATGTCCAAGGTAATGTTCATTGGCCTAACTTAACCTCGGACCACCTCTGACCTGCAGCAGCACCACTATTACCCATCCGTGGCATGCCATCCAAGAAAATGTGATGAACTCATCATTTAGGGAAGATCCATGGGCTCCCAGTGACCTACGAAGGCAAACTGCTTGCTGCCTCCTATGTTCAACCAGCCCCACCAAAGCTCTTCTAAAAGCCAGCCTCTGTACTTGGTAATGAACAGCTACTGGAGTCTTGACAGCAGAGATTCTGCGCCCAGTGCAGGATATGGCCCAATCAATAAACCAAAATTCACAATGCCAAGTGATGAGAGCAAGCATACAGCCATATAAGAAACAAAGCCCGGGGCACCCTGTTATCCACTTCTTAACTGCACTTGGCACCTTCAGGGGCTTTCAAAGGCTCCCATTCCCAGAGTCTCTAAGTACAGGACTTCTCTCTTGAATCTCAACTGTGCCAAATACGAAAGTGGAACCAACCATTTCATTTCTAGCGTCCCACAGCGATGCCTGCTACCACTTCAACAAGAAGACCCTTGGATCCGATAAAACACAACCAAGATCTCATTTAACTGGGAAGAAGAAGCCACCCACAGCGCCCGACACTCACGTAGCTTTGTTCTTTTCAATTCCGGTTGGGTTTGGCCCGCAGGTGGCCACTCCGTCGGTATTGTGAACGTGCTCTGTGGGCAGGGCAGCCCAACAAGGGCTAACAACACCTGTCTCCTCCTCCGCCTGGTGGCTGGCAGTGCCACACTTCTGGGTCTTAAGCCAGTGAAAACAATCAACGTCAGATCGACGCATACTCTAAATAACTGGCAAATGATCCCAAAATAGACTTCAAAACTGACCGTGTATTAGCAAAATACTGTTAATTAGTGAGCCGAGATTCAGTAACAACCTAACTTGGATCCCTACTATTGGGCAAAATAGCTTTAGCACCGAAGCAGGAGACTCGGTTTCAATTTTTAATTTTTTGAAGTTTCAGATATGCATTAAAAATACGTGTGGCCGCTTGTTTAGTAATCCCAGAGCCTCTCCAAGTATCCAGCGTTCCAGTACTTTCTGAAAGCGAGGGCGATCTTCCTAGTCTTATTTTGCATAATTACGTCTCCGAAAAGCCATCCTAAATTTGAATGAAAATAATTTTCTTATGCTGGGGTGGATCCGCGGCGCTCAAAACTGGGCCGCGGAGCTCCGGCTCCCACACCAATCAGGACCTTCCAGGGCCCCCAGGGACAAGGGCAGCAGGCTACTCACGTCTGAACTGGTCCACGGCCTGCAGGAGCCAGCGGCGGGCGAGCCAACCGCCTGGGGGAATAACAGCACCTCGCCAGCCCCGGCAGGGGGATGGCCGCGATCGCGAGCCGGTGCCCCCTCCCCCAGGCCCGAGGGGGGGGGGGCGCAGACACGACCTCGGCGGCCATCCCCCTGCCGCGCCGCGCTGGGCCCCGAGGACCGCTGCTAAGGTGGTAGTGGGGGTTGTCCCCTCAGACGCCCGCGCGTCCTCAGGAAGCGCTGCAGCGGCTACGTGGCCCACGCGAGGCGAGGCCGCGAGCGGGGAAGCAGCCCCCAAGAACCCCCGGTGCTGTCCCCGGCCCGCTTACCTGCGGCACCGCGCGCGGCAATCACTCGGCGGACGGTCGCTCGCCCCGGGCGGGCTGCGGCGAGAAGCGGGCGAGCAGGGGGCGGGGCCGCCGCCTCGGGAGCCGCGGGCCACAGCCGAGCCCGCCGGGCCTCATGAATGGGACGCGGCCGCGGCGCCGGCCGAGCTGGCGGTGGGCTGCGCGCACGCCCCGCCCCGCCCCGGCCACGTGACGCAAGCTCCGCCTCCACCGCGGGACTCGCGCCCCGGGCCCTGCCGGGAGAGAGCGGCTGGCTGCTCGCGAGGGCCTCGGAAGAAGCGTTTGAAAAGTTTCCTCTGGTCCCTATGGCAACCTTGCGGCGCTGCGCGGGGTTTCAGAGCCCAGCTGCCAAAAAGAGTGCAACACGGTCCGTTGCATGATGGTGTGGAAACGCTATGCCCGTGTAACACGAGTGCACGTAGATCTGATCACTGCAGAGCCTGTATCTTTGCCTATTTCCCCTCCAGATTCAGTTATAAGACCTCCTATTTAAAAGTACACTTTACAGAACGGCTGCCACAGTGACTATTAGGGGCGTCTGCTGCCTTTTATCTTGTTTTTCTGCAGTCGGTTATTTCGTGGGAAGTAGAGATGGGAGCCTGTGGCAACATTACCAAATGTCTGTTAATTTCTCCGTGCGCACGGTGAGCACATTCATGCAGTGTCGGGGCCATAGAGACATACATTTATACAAACTCTCTCCGGGATGGGCCGGGACACATCAGTGTCCTTACAACAACACAGCGTGATGGGCATAGGCTCTGCTAGGGCCCAGGAAACCAGTTCTCTGCACAGGCAACCATTTCATTCTAGTATCACGGTGTGGGATTCTACCAGGTTGCCTCAACTAAGGCCCGACAGAGACACCCTAACCTACTAGGAATTTTTTGCTTCATTGCGGCTTTTCATCTTATTCACCGGCAAATTTTTTTTTTAAAGATCGAAACTTTCCGGTCACTGTTAGAAGGATCTTACTCCACTGTGGAGAAGTGTAGTTAAAAGAGAAAGGACCCTCTCCTCAATATCCAAGCCAATACACAGGAAACAGAGACACCTCCCTGATGGGCGCCTTGAGTCAATGTGGTTCCCATGAACCGGCCGATGTGGCTTACAGCCTGGTCTGTAGAACGCGCTGTTACTGTTTGTTTTCCAGCCGTTCTTTCTCCAACTCAACTTTTCCTGTTTCTCTCGGGTAGGTCTCACTACCTTCTACCTTGGGAGAGAAATAGTCTCAAGCTTCCTTCCTTTCGTCATTCAGGAAGCCCTAGACAAGCCGCCCTTCCTCTGCCACCGCCCCCTTGGGGTTTGACAACTTACTCAGGATTGGTTCACGTTTCTAGTATTTTCCTCCTTCTCTGGGGGGTGCCTGACTTATACTATGCCTGAGGCAGAGCAGGGAGTAACTAAATATCTGTTGAATGTCCCTCGACTTCCTGTACCTGATACCTGTGAAGTTGGGGCACACCCAGCTCCCATCTGCTTCACTGCTCACGTCTTGTCTCACCTTCTGACCCTACCACCTTCCGGTTCCATAGCCAGGAGCCTTTCCCCACCAATTGTCCCACTTCTAGTCTAGATGGAGCTTAGTTTTATTTTATTTGTTTTGTTTTCATCTAACCAGTCTTCTTCCACTATTTCAAACAAGGGAGGCCTTCTTATCCCTTATGTAGTTTGGTAGAAGATGTTTTTCCCTTGGGGCTTGTGTTTTGTGCTATTTTGATGTTTTGTTTAAGAATGGACATTATGCCGGGTGGTGGTGATGCGTGCCCTTAATGCCAGCACTGGGAAGCAGAGGTAGGGGGATCTCTGTGGGTTCAAGGACAACCTGGTCTAAGGGTGAGTTCCAGAACAGTCAGGGATACACAGAGAAACCCTGTCTTGGAAAATAGCACTAGGAGGAAACAAGAAAAAGAATGGACATCTCTCCATGTGTTTTCCGGACTTGTTGGCTATGGCAGCCTCCCATTACAAGCTATGGAACAGCATATTCTTCCAAGATCAGACGGGATCGGGCGCGTTCAGGGTGGTATGGCGGTAGACGGAACAGCATATTCTTACTGATTGATAAAGCTGTCTCTGTTTACTCAGTGTCTGTTTCTTATTCGCCCAAATAACATCCTTGATAGTTAAGAAATGGAATGGGCATGCTTGCTAAACTATTCTTAAAACGTTTCTAGGTAGTACCTGAACTCATTGCTGCTACATGATGAAAAAAAAAAAGTCAATGTATCAAGAAAAGCAAGGTGATGGTGGCTAAAGTCTTTCCTAGTATCTTACAATGCTCTTCAATTTACATCTTGGAAAATGGTTGTTTTGAATATCAATAGGCCATGGTTTTTAATATAAGCTTGAACTTTCTTTCAGCTAGTATTCACAAAAGATTTGTGTGTGGGCATCTTCTCCAATCCCATCTTCAGTGAACTCCCCCTTACTCCCAGTTGTGTTCCTTAACTTACCTGTGTCCCGCATATGAGTTACTGACCTCAAATAGTGGACCCCAAAATACATGTAAACAGCTCATACAAGCACACCTCAAACTTTAATTATGCTTAATTTCCATAAAGGCATATCTCATTCTAATCAAACATCTGGGGCTCACTCATTAATGTATATCAGCTATCTTTCATGTGAGGTTAATTCGTCTTTTTTTTTTTATCTTTAAGCTTGGTAAATCTGAGAATGATTTGATAAGCCGTAAGATCTGTAAAGATGAACTTTGGACCATTCCTTTTTTTCCAGCTAAGCCAACAGAACCCTTCAGGCTTTCTGCTTATCTCATGAAGGCAATATCACCAGACCCAGCTACCTGGAACCGCATAACTGAAGCGTCTCCTTCCTTTGGAAGCCTGTCCCTCCTCCACTCATGATACTGCCCAGGCTAACGTCACCAAGGTCCCTCTTGCTGCCAAACATGTTGGACTCCTTTGGGACCTGCATCTCAAGAGACGTTCTTGACACCATTTCCTTCTTGAAGCTTCCTCCTTCCTCCTACATTCATCAACTGAACACCTCTGAAACCTATATGCTTGAGTGGGTGGCTTTCACTCTCCCATCAAAGCTCACAGTGATGTCAGATTCTAGCCCATCCTTTGCACTCCCCTTTCGGCCCGGTCCAGAATTTCCTATCCCGGTAGTGGCACTACCATACCATTTAGTGATCTTCCTCAGCAGCCTAGGGGAGAGTCTCAATCTGCTACTCCCGTGGCATATCCATCCTGCCTGGGTATTTCTGTTTAGAGTTCTCTGCAGAACGGCCACAACAGCCATATGTCACATCCTCTTCATTTGCCCGATATGTGGCCTCCCTCTGGTTGCAGTAAATCTCTCCATCCCTCTGAAAGCAAGGCAAAGGAGCTTTCTCCCCATCCTTGCAGTCAGTAATTGATTGCCTTCAATGAAAACTCTGACTTCCAGAGGAGCACGTCCAGAGAGTTCCCTTTCGCCCCAGTGTTCTCTCCTGTGCATCTGCTCTGCATGCTTAGCCAGCCCTTCTGCAATGTGATAGCCTTTCCAACGTTCATTTCCATATTCCTTGCATTTTCCTCTTTACAAGAAGTCAGCAGGCTTACTTCTTGCTCAGAGAAGTCTGCTGGCGAGATGAAAAGCAGAAGTTGTCTGAAAGACATTTCCTTCCTGCCTTTTATTTCCAAAACTCTAAAATTACCAAAGTCAAGAAGGAGAAGAGGAGCCTTTCAGGAAATCCTGGAAGAGAATCTTTCTCTGGAGTCAGGAGGGGAAAATCGTACACACTCCTGTCTGGCAGTTCAGAGGGCAGGGCGGGGTGGGGACTGAAACCTTCGAAAGACAACTTTGCTGTTTCTGGCTTTGGCATTTCCTGGGTCAAATGACAACCCTCATTTCCGTGCCATCACCATATGCCCAGCTCTTTTTGAAATTATATCCAGCCCAGACTGAGACAGGAGTGAATCAGATCGGCTCCCGCAGCTTGTAACTTAGAGATGCAGAAAATTGTCCCCAGGCCTCCAAGACTCTGAAAGCTGGTTTTGGAAAAAGAGACTTCATTTTTAACTGACTCACAAGAGTGTAAATTTTTAGGTGACATAGCATAGCATGCCATTTCAATACATGTAAAGTAAAGTGTAATGATTAAACCAAGAAAACTGGCTTACCACTGAGATGTTTAGATTCTTTGACTTAGGAACATTCATAATGTCCATGGGTAATTTTATATGTGCAATTAATTGATGTCAACCATAGTCATCCTCTTGTACCTTAGAACTCTACTACAAGTTCTTTCTTCTCTCAGTTATATGCCTGCCCCGTTAGCCCTCCTTCCTCCTTTTCCATCTCTCACATACTTTTCATAGGTTCTGACAACCATTATGTCTGCTTGCTCTCCAGTCCTGAAGAGCTCAGCAGTAGCTTTCAGGTGTAAATGAGAATGTCCCCAGTTTGATCATCCTCTCTCAATGGCTTCTACTGCCCTCTCCTAATCAAGAACTTTTTTTCCTCAGGTACATAGGTTGACCCCGTCGGGATAGCAATCATAGCTCTTCCTCAGTGCATACCAGGCAATCAATAAACACCTACTGAACAATAAAGATGGATTTATTTTTCTAGGAATATGCTTGTCTCGGGGTCCAAATCATCTCTCCCACTAAAAAGAAAAATACAAGGTTGATACATGGTTATAGGGACAGACCTTCCTGGGGTGGCAAGGGAGTGAAAGAAAGACAAACACAGAGAGAAATCTGAGCCTGAGTGATCTGAGCTCTCGGTGGGAGAAACTGCAGCACCCAGGAAGCTCAGCCTGTTTGTTATATACTGTTGAATATGGAGGAGGGTTATTTCACGCAGCTGAACAAAGAGGTGGGGTTGTTACACACAAGTAAACAAGGAGGCAGAGTCTACAGCTGGATAAAACAGGCAGGTTCAGTCTTCATAGAAGAACCCCCTGGAGGGGCGCAGTCAGTCTTCGAGTCCTGAACATCTCAGGGGAGAAGTTATGATGGACGTCTATTGTAGACACTGTCAACATCCACACAGACAGAAGGGAAGGCTTCCCATTTCCCTCAGGCTGGAGTCCTATCTACAGCGGATCCTGTAACAACAACACACATTCATTCAGGACCCCACACACTCAGGGCTTCCTCCCCTACCCACGCAACGCAAAATGTTTAAAATACATTCTGGAAAAGTCTATGGATT